ACGGGACTGACAATCCCGCACCTAAACTGTTAGCTACAGTTAGACCGGTAGGTCTGGGGTGACAAATGTCGTACCATTCCGACGCCTGAAGAACGTTGTAGCAGGCCAACTACCTAACATGGTTATAATAACTCACATGGGGTATTAACTAATACATTTGGTTTATAGGGCTAACTTACATTCAACCAGTTTTATTTAATAATAAAACTACATACACTATTGTACAGTACAACTTATATTTTTGGAGACATACATTCAAAGGGATTTACACATATACAACTACAGTACATTATTTTCCAGTACAGTACAACTTACATTTATGGAAATATACACTCAAAGGGTTTTACACAGATACAACTACAATACATTATTTTCCAGTACAATACAACTTACATTTCTAGAAACATACATTCAAATGGTTTTATAAATATTAGAACTACATTATACTACTTCCGAGTACAACAATACTTATACATTTTCGGTCTTAGGGTTTCTAAGACTACAATTCACTTTAAAAGAAAATATTGGATTTTATGGAATCACACTCTTTCATTTACAAGGAAAAATGACAGATTTTTCTCATACAAACGCTTATGAACTCACCAACTTAACTGTTGACACTTTTTCAAAACTACTTGTATTATCAGGAAATCAGTAAACAAGTACTCATAAGGATTTTACAGATGGGGCGTGGCAGCGTCACATCACATATTTTTGTCACATATATTTGGAAATCAAACAAACAACGATTCGAATACAATGTAAAAACTTATAATTTATCAATATGATGGTTGTAATGCTTTGATCTCTATTATTCAGTTGTTATGATACTGTACATGAAATCATACACCCCCAGACGTTTCCGTTGTTCTCGGTTTTAGGTTGTGACAGTGTTTTATATACCTTATACATTAAGGATGTGTTTGTTAATTACACCGAAGGGTGTTTACGGCTTTCTACATATACAACAGATTACGAGTGAGTGCTTGACTTTTAGTCAAAAGCCTAAAGTACCCTTCCATCATTAAAGAATATGGTTTCAAATTGAACACAATTCTTTATAATTTGTAATCATGACAACAAGGGCAAATATGTAATTAGAGTGTTTAACATGGCAGCTGATGGAGATTCTAGACAAATGAATGTGCTTTATCTTTTATTTATACCAATTTTCTTGCATGAATTTACTCTCTTTCTAATCCTAAAAGGTTGTATGCACTAGTAGAATGCATGCGATGGCCTTATTGGAGTGCTTATTTAGGAGAGAATTCTCTATGATGGTGTCACACCCCAAAACCGGAACGGCGGAAACGTTCTGGGGCGGAGGACGTCATGTTTAGTATCACAAGACATGCATCATAGTAAACAAGTAATAAACAACCATTTCATTAGAAAGAAAGTGTTTACAAAGTATGTGATTCACATAATATAGAATACATAGCAAATAACAAAAAGACATGAAGCTATACTGCTCCATCTTCTGAATCCCAGTGCACGAACCTGTCTACTGTTCTCCTGAGAATACAAGTTATTTTGAAAGCGTAGACCAGCATTTAAGCTGGTGAGTTCATAAGATTTTAGTGATGTAGTAAGTAGTAAGAAAGTTTGTAGAAAATTATAGTAAGTTGTAGTAAGTTCTATTTAGAAAAGTTTGCCTGTTCCTCCAGAAAATCCTATATTTCCTGCTTTGATGAAAGATAAGTAAAAATAACTCTACAGTCCTTTCTATGAGTATTAAATGGATACAAGTTATATAAAACCCAGAGTAAACAAACAATCGGTTGTGTGTATCTTCCCTAAGCCCACAACCAAACAAGGAACATGAAATGAGGCGGAAGACACACATCCCATTATTTGTTAGATATTCGTTGTATATAACCCCTGCGTATTCACTCGGTACTCACGGAGTTAACTGTAATAGTTCCTTTATATTTGATGAAAATATCCTTTAAGAAAACCCTTATTTCTTACAATAAAATGATAACCACAGTAGTTCCTTCTATAATCACTTAGTTTATACTAGTTATATATAATCTAATATCGAACAAAATAGTTAATTGTGTGAATCTGCCCTAAGCCCACAACCAAACAAGGAACAGGAAATGAGGCGGAAAGCACACATCCAACTACCTATCGGATATTAATTATATATAACCCTGGTGTATAAACTAAGGTATTATAGAATTAACCACCTAAGGTCCTTTAAGTTTTACTGGTTTAATAAAATGGATTAAACCCTTTACTAGTTAAGTTTCTAGTTTTGTATTCCAAAAGTTCTTCATTTGAAAGTATGTTTTGTACTAGAAAACGGTGCATTGAATTAGTGTCCTATGACCTGACCCATACATGGTACCCCTTATGATTACTTGGTGTATACGGAACATATATATAGCTAAGCTCGGATAGATAGTAGGCTGGGTGTATCTGCTCTAAGCCCACAACCAAACAAGGAACAGGAAATGAAGCGGAAAGCACACATCTTACTACCTGTCGGACCCGATTAATATATATCCCTGAATGCATACACTAAGGAATCATAAAGTTAGCATTATAGGTCCCTTTCTACTGAATGTACTAGACCCGACTGTTCTGTGTGTCGTTTGTAAAATGTAAGTTTTCCCTAGTTTATAACTATCTTGACTCGAAAATAGTTTGTATTAGCTTTCAAGTGGAACTGCCACTTACTGAAAGTAATGGGAATTTATAAGTACGCAGTTGTCTTTTGAATTGGCATTCTGTAGTACTAATTACCTTAAAACGTGAAGGCTAGTTCTCGTACTATACGTTCTCCCTATCAAGAGATTCCGGGAACCAAACGCGACCTCTGCAAACAATTGCAAGGCGTGTAATTCACATTAAAGTTTTATGATCATGTATACCCAATTTAACTATCACCTTTTGTTACAAACAATGAGTTAGTGATTCATTGGTATAATTAGATCTAGTATGTTCTCATGCTATAGCATCTTAGTATGTTCGTTCTGTTATAGTGTATAGTGTATAGTATGTCTCTCTGATGTATTGTATCTACCTCCTTGTTTCTCTTTATGTTATCATGTATTATATCTACCTCCCTGTTTCTCTTTATGGTATGCTCTAGTATTTAGTATGTACTTAACCCCTAAACTATACCCCTTATAGTTTACTAGTAATTTACTTGTACTGTTGTTGAAAATACTCATTTTTCTACTAAGTTATGCTGATACTTTAAAAACGGAGTTTTGTTAAACTATAAAGTAACATAACTTGAAAAGAGTTATTGAAATGTTTTGACTACTTATAAATGACATAAGTAATCTTTTGAAAATGTTTATAACAAACAATTACACAATTATCATTGTGTTCAACTTGTATTCCCCCCTTAAAACATTTAAACAGTTTAAAAGATTGATTACGGGGTATGAACTCACCTTATGTGGGTGATTCAAACGAATATGCGCGTAAGGATGAGAAGTTCCACGAATGAAGTCCCGAGATACAACAAGTCCTAAATGACATATATTAGCATGAATATAGTGTTTATAAGCAACTATATGAAAGGAAACACCTTCCGGGACTAGGAAACACTTGGAATGAAGTGTTGAATCACATGTGATTGACCTAAAGGGTGTTTATGGCCATGGTTTGGTGTTTATGGCCATATGCTTACGGCCAAGGGAGTTTACGGCCGTAAACTCATGGTTAAACATGCATAAGAGGGTGTTTGAAGGCTAGGGAAACTTGAGGGACCATTGCTCTAAACAAGGATGAGAAAGACCAACTTAATGGAGGGTGTTGAGGTGTTTACGGCCACACCATAAACCCTATGGCCATAAACACTCTATTGGGTCTTAAAGGCAAGGAGTTTCAAAGGTTCAAGTGTTCCAATGGTTAGTAAAGGTCTAGATGTGTTTAAGGTCCAAATCATGACAACTACAAGGGTTTACGACCAAGGTGTAAACTCCTGGCCGTAAACTCTCTTTGATGATGAGTTTGGTGATGATTCAAGGTCTTACAAAGCACAAGGGAGTGTTCTAGCCTCAAATCCAAGCCTTAGGAAGAGTTTAAGGCTCAAATGGCACCTTTATAGGGGTTTACGGCCAAGGGAGATGCTCTTGGCCATAAACTCCTTTTGTTCTTGAGAATTGGATGATTTAAAAGTGTAGATCAAGTGTTTCTAGCATACAACTTAGTTAGGGGAAGAGTACTCACACTTTGGAGGCCCTTTGATGAAGATCGGGAGTGAAATCTCGATGATACTTGAGAGAGAATGGGAGATTTCGGCCAAGGAAAGGAAAAGAATGAAGAAATGGCTAAGTCTTACATATATAGGGGTGAGTTTACGGCCATGCCATAAACTCTATGTTCTTTGGCCGTGAACTCCATTTTGGTGGTGTTAAGGCTTGAATGTTGCACAGTGTCTCTAGCAGGTACATTCTAACACTCATTCCTTAAGTGTACTAGGCTTAAAACTCGTTAGAATGACCTTTTTCAAGGCTAGAAGGCAAAAATATTTCGGGTTGTCACAGATGGCATGCAAGTCGTTTGTGTACTTCTATCCTTATTATACCCCTACTTTTTTTCCAAATTTCCCCTTTATCTATAAACTTTTTCATATTTAATCTCGTAAGTGGTAATACCATAATCAATTAGATTTATGCTTCAACTTAATTTTCTATCATTTGAAGTTGTCTACATCTACTTCCTTCTTCATGTAATCAAGACTACTAGATATTGTGGTTCTATTTGGAAAATAGGTGTGTTCATCTTTTTAACATATTAGTTTTGATTTTTAAAATTTAGTTGAAAACATTATTTTTGGTATTTTATTAACTAGGTTTTGCCAATGAATTTAGAAGATAAATTGACTTATTTGGCAAGTTAATTTTGAATTTTCGTCCATTTTGAAAACCTATTCAAATATGTTAATAGTGACATTGCCGTTGTTTTCGTAGACAATAAGGACATGTTGGATTCATCCGATTGATGGCAAATTACATAGAATTGCAATGTATATTACTGTGGAAACCAATTTAGACAATGTACTTCAGATAGTAACAATGTATGAAACAGATGGGCATACACACAAAATGAACACCTTCCGCCCCACGCAATGTGCATGAATCCCTTCTAGTTCTAAAAAAAAAATACTAATCATCTATAACCTATAACCTAATATGAATTTGTTATGATCGTTGCACTTTTGATTATACTATATATTGCACCATGATGTATTACTTCATGTACCTATGTATTCATATGGCAGAAACGTTAACGACACATAATGATTACAACTCGTCTCCGACGATAGCCACATCCGAAGACCCACCGGTAATGGCTGCATAAATCTTCCATAGAACCACGACCACTACCAGAAAGCCCACAAGGATAAACAATGGTGGATTGTTTGAAGTAACTTGTTTGCTTTCTTCCGCCGGAATTGGTTTCGCCGATGGTCGTGGATTTGACGGAAGCGGTGGTTTCTTATCGATTGCGTTTACTTTTCTCTCGGTCAACGTTTGTGAACCGGTGGTGATCGTCGATGAAGGCACCGGAGTTTCAACAGGTTTTGATGGCAAAGGTAATTGAATGGAACGATCTACCTCTGAATTGGAATTCTTCTCAATCTCATTGATTGGGTTGCCATCGTTCTTCTCAATTTTATCGATTTTCACGACGTCAGATTTTTTCACATTGATTGAGTCGTCGATCTTCTCGATTTTTTGAATTTTTTGGATATCCTCGATTTTATCATCTCGTACAGGTGATGAACTTTGCGATTCATTTGGAGTTTCTGATGAATCATTCCCATGAATCTTCTTCTTCTGTTCGACGATAATGCAATCGGTCATGAAAAGATAAGAAAAAAAATTGAACAGATAACAAACTCACCACAGCTGTATCAAACAAAACGGCTTTAAAAATACGAGACATGCGGGAAGAAGATGATTTCTTGATGTCTGGATCAATACAATTGCCGGAGACATCACAATATATTAAATTATCATCGGAGGCCAAAGCCTTCCGTCCGCTGCCGGAAGAAGAATCGTCGCCGGGGGTCGCAGGTTTGAAAAAGTTCTTGAAGATCAAGCTTTTTCCTCTCTTCTTCTTCTTCTTTCTTTTTGAACCATGATCATCCATCATCTTGTCACGAAAGGAGAGATCGATCGCATGTGTTTTTTCATCCAAATAAATTCTTATAATTTTTCAAAAGTGGATTTATATTTTCAGATCGAATTGTACGTGAGAGTGGCCGGTTTTGCATGTTTTAAGCGTTTTTAGATGATGTGATGGTTGTGGCTTGTGAATTGTGATGCAAAATTGTATCCTATGTTTACAACAAAATTAAAATAAAATTCGTTAATATTTATTATTGTAAATTCAAGTTTGGATATTTAAAGATCGTAATACATTTTAAACACTTTTTTAGTTTTTTATATTTATAACAAAAATGAAATCCTTTTAAAAGACATATACAAAATTTAATAGATACTTGTACTCTTGTAGAAATTAAAGTCATATTATGCATTATTCAAGAAATAAACAATATTTGATAAACTTTTTAAAATATTGACTGAGAATACGATTAGTTTAAAGTTGAATAAAAGTAATATGATCAGGACAATACAAGTAAGTTATATATAACTTTTATTAGTACATAATGGAATAATATTTATAATATATATGAAGTGGTTTGTCTTTGTTCCTCAGTTAATTCAATTGAAATCACAAACACTAAACCCAGTTTAGAGCATAGCACATTAGAAAATTATATAAGGCTCAATCCTCAATGTTTAGATATATTTAACAAAAATTAATTATTAACCAAAAGTTGTTTTTATTTATGTAAAAATATTTAAAAAAAATGATTATAAGTTTTTAAAATATATAAAATAACATAAAATATAAAAAGCTAAAAACTTCTAAAAGCTCTTAGAATTACAAACATTTGTTGCCGAAATACAAAAAGATTATATGTTTTTCTTGTTTAGATCTAAACCATAACTAAATTGTCCATTTCTAAAAATTGAACTTGAAATATCATTTTTACATTAATTATTAATGGTAATCAATTAGATGGATTGACCGGTTGGCTTGAAAAGGTTTTAAAAAGCCCGCCTAACAGTTTAAGTATAAAAATATAATCGAGTGAACATTATGGAAACAATTTATTTGTGAAACCCTAATTATGCTTTCCTTCCCTATTAGAAAATGACGTCATCTCCCTCCTCCACCCTTATCGCTGACGACTTCAAGCAAGCAAAAGAGAAAGAACAAATTTAATCAATTAGGCTATATTTGGCATACTAGCTGAAAAGATAGCTGTTAAATAAAAATATAGCTGATAAAAAATAACATTTCGCAAAACTAGCTGAAAAATAAGAAATGACAATAAAAAGACATTTAAAAGAATGTGTTTTTATAATCTCTTAAAGGGGTATATTTGAAAAATTATAAAAAAACTCTTAAAAAGCTAGTCTAAATAGCTTTTAAAAAAGCTAGCTTATAAACTACTTGGCTTGCCAAACACAACTTAAAAAAACTCGAAAAATAAGCTAGTTGTGACGTGCCAAACACAACCTTAATGTCTAACATAATTTCTTGTTTTATATGGATATTGATAACGTTAATTGATCTTCATTATTATCAAAGGATCCATACGTAGCAATGTATGATCCTTAAAACATCATATGATTGTTGATTATTGTTTGTCTAATTGTATTTGATTTTTAGGATTATTAAAAAACTTAATTTGTATATTTCGTTGCAAAATTGTTTTTAATCAATTAAACACCAAATGCTACCCCATTCTTAGTTTAATGTAGTTGCAAGTTACATACTACAAAAGATATGCTACTTGTTTAAAAGGTTTTATCGTACCTTACTATGGTAATTATTTTCCATAGTTGCAGTAACACCGACTTCAAGATGTCATAATAAAACTTGAAAGATAACTTTTTTTTTATATATTGACATATAATGCCTGGTTGGGATAAGACTAGGTTTGTACGCCCTAATTAGGCTGAAGATGACAAACAAACATCCACATCACCAATTGACACCACACATGCAAATGTTTACCAAAAATTATACCTTAAAAGAAATAAAATGGGCAAAACAAAAGGCTAGCCAACTCTCATATAGCGCATCCACAATACATTGAATATTCATAGAGTTCAATATATTGCCATATCACTTTTTTACATTTCATACAACTCTATTAATTTTTCTTACAATGTATAGAACTCTACAAAGTTCAATAGAACATAACAAAAGCTAGTTTATAGTATTTATTCAAGAATTAGAAAACTTACTTTTTTCTATTGAAAAGTTCAATGACCATTGAACTCCAAATCTATTGAATGCTAAAGTGACATTTCACATTAATAGAATTTCATTCATTGAATGACAACTAAACTTACCATCTCGTTCAATTTGCCAATTGAACTCGCCATTATGGATGCTCTTAGGTCTAAACCGAAAAATTAACAAAATATAAGGTATTTTATGCAATAAACTCATTACTCATATGTGGTTTAAAATATTAACAAAATAATAAGGTCCGAAGTGCAAGATGTTCAAATAAGGGGCCTAAAGTGAAAAAAAACAACAACAAGTTTGATACTTTATTTTGGCGTGTAGAAATTGAACAGGAAGGACTGCTTTCCAAGAAAACGCAAACACAGAGGTACCCTTTTCGGCGCATAGTCGCTTCCATATTGCTAGGGCATCGAATACACAGACTTCTCTTCTTTCTCTCTTTTATTCAATCCATTAGAACTATCATCTAAACAGTAGGAGTCACCATTTTGAAAGAAATTGTAGGAGATGGAAGTTCTCCGGATGAATCTGGCAAAGGTCCGTATTCCGGAGCCTACCAATCGCATATACAAGCAGGAATGCTGCATCAGTTTCGATACTCCGGTGAGTATTCCTTTTTCCGTTTCTTCCTTTTCTTGGTTTGTCTATGAGAAGCGATGTGAAATGGGGTTTAAGAAAGCCGAATGAAATAGGGTTTTGCGTGTAATTTTAGGGAAAATTTTAGGTTGTGGAATCCGATTAATTTACTACTACTAGGGTCTAGAATCATGGTATGCATGTCTTGTATATGTGCGTAATTTATTCTCTCGAACGATTCCACGATTCACTCCTAGAATGTGCTCGTTGATTTTTTGGTAGAACTACATTTTGATTTTAGATGTCAAACATAACTTTTTTCAAATGCAAATGCGTTATATTTGTTTGTAATTTGGATTCCTTATCTCTCTCATATTCTTGCTTCAGAAATCCGAAGGTGGATTGTTTGTGGACATGAACACGTTTCTTGCATTTGGTAAGGACTACGTTGGCTGGAACTTTGAGAAAACTGGTAACCCGGTTTATCTCCATATAAAACAAACAAAGAAAGCAATCCCTGAAGATAGACCTTTGAAGAAACCTACACTCTTGGCTATAGGTATTTCATCTCACATCTTCTGTAATTTTACTGAAATCATTTTGGTTCTATCGATTGTGATTTCACTTATTCTTGTAGGTGTTGATGGTGGATTTGATAACCAAGAACCTGAATATGACGAAACTTACAACATAATAATTCTCCCAGACTATGCAACTCTCCCATTTCCATCAGTGCAATTGCCTGAAAAGGTTTTTGCCTGTTTTGAGTGTTTTCCCTTCACTCTTTTACCATTTTCTTCATTTCTGTGTTCTTTTTCATCACCATTTCTGCAATGTATACAGGTAAGATTGGCAGTTGATGCAATTTTGATTGCTGAGGGTGCTGAGAGGAAAGAACAACTTGCATCATGGACAGCTGATAAGAAGCAAATAAGTGAACATGCATTGACATTAAAACAGATAGATAATGGTGTCATTGTTCCTCCATCTGGATGGAAATGTGCAAAGTGTGACAAGACTGAAAATCTTTGGTTGAATTTGAGTGATGGAATGATTTTATGTGGGAGGAAATTATGGGATGGAAGTGGTGGAAATAATCATGCCATTGATCATTACAATGAAACTCATTATCCTCTTGCTGTAAAGCTTGGGACAATAACTTCTGATCTTGAAGGAGCAGGTAATAGTAATACTAGCTTGTTTGTGTGTTTTTTTTTACCATTTTACCCTTTGAACTTTTATCTTTTTTCGAATATAATTATGAGTTTGACACTTTGGCAGCTCAGATGTTTTTTCTTATCCGGAGGATGAAAGTGTTACTGATCCTCTTTTGGCTGAACATTTGGCATTTTTTGGCATTGATTTTTCCTCATTGCAAAAGGTAAATATCTTTCAATCAAAAGATATAATAATGCCATTAATGTTGATAATGATATCTGACTTTTTTTTTAAAATAAAAATAAATTCAGACAGAAATGACAACAGCTGAAAAGGAACTTGACCAAAATACAAACTTTGACTGGAATCGGATTCAAGAAAGTGGTCAAGAAGTTGAACCGATTTATGGACCTGGATACACAGGGCTTGTGAATCTTGGAAACAGGTAAAATTTTTGTTTCTTGAAATGATTTTGTTTTTTTTTTTTTTATAAAAAAAAGTTCATTCATTTTTTCGTATGTTTTGTGGTTTTATAATGTTATTCTGTGCAGTTGTTATTTGGCTTCAACTATGCAAGTTGTTTTCTCAACTCATTCGTTTTGTTCACGGTTTGCATACTATTTCATTTTTATTTATTTATTTTTTGACATTTTGACAAGTTTGCATAATTAATTATTCAACTACACAGATACTACAAGAACCAAAATTTGAAAATGGCTTTTGATAATGCTCCTGCTGATCCAACTGTAGACTTGAATATGCAGTTGTAAGTATTTATATTTATATCAAACATAAAATTAAAAAAGAAAATCATATGTTAATTCATAATATTAAATTGTTTTGATTTTTTTTTTGGCAGAACAAAACTTGCTAATGGTTTGCTTTCTGGTAAATATTCCATGCCAGCTGTGCAGGTGAGTTGGAAATTGAAACTTAACTTTATTTCAATTTTTACATTTATTATTATATGCTTTTTAACCATGAAATGTTTATCCTCCAGAATAATGATGTGGACTCATCTCCAAATTCTGTAAGTTTGTAACTTGATTTATAATTTCTTTTGATGAAACTTTAATTTGTTTTTTATTTTTATTTTTTTAAAAGAAACAAGAAGGGATTCGTCCCAGAATGTTCAAGGCAGTAATTGCAGCCAGTCATCCAGAATTTTCAACCATGCGTCAACAGGTAAGTTTAATAATTAATTTTTATAAACAGAATGTTTGTTTTTAGTTAATTATATAATTTTTTTAAAAAAAATTATGTACAGGATGCACTAGAGTTTTTTTTACATTTGATAGAGCAAGTTGAGCGAATTCATTCTGGAAACCCTAATTTGGATCCTTCTAGAAGCTTCAAATTTGGTATTGAAGAGCGATTACAATGTCCTTCTGGAAAAGTTGCTTACAACAAAAGGCATGACTATATTCTTTCCTTGAATATTCCACTTGATAAAGCTACCAACAAAAGTGAGTTCTTTTCTCCCTTTGACTTCAAAAGTTTTTTGATATTTAATTTGTTATTAATTAATTAATTCATATTACAGAGGAACTGGACGAGTTTCAGAAATATAAGACGCAAAAAGAGGCAAAGGGGGAGAAACTGTAAGTCAGATATTAAAAAAAAAAAAATTCATTTCAATTTTCAACTTTTTTTCTCATTAAGATTTTGTACTTTTTCAGGTCTTCAGAAGAAATTGTGCGCCCAAGAGTGCCATTAAGTGATTGTTTGGATAGCTTTTCTTCACCTGAAGATGTTCAAGGATTTTTTAGCACTGCATTAAATACTAGGACAACAGCAATCAAGTAAGTTTATTATTTTTAAAATATATATATATATATATATATATATATATATATTTCATTTATAAAAAACCATAAACTTTTTGTTTTTTTATTTTTTGTTTGTCCTTTATAGAACCGCAGGTCTGACTTCATTCCCTGATTATCTGGTACTCCATATGAGGAAATTTGTAATGGAAGCTGGTTGGGTGCCTAAAAAGCTTGGTATAAAACTATAAATATATGCAAATTACAAAATGGTCCCCGTGTTTTCGGATTTCTGATTTCTACCCTGTTTAGTCCATATCTGAAACCCTTTTCAATTTTCGTCCTTATTTCAATTTTAAATTAATACAAAACCTTGTAATTTATTTTTTTATATAAATCAGAAAGCACAGGGACCATTTTTGTAACTTAATCCATGTACTTTTTCTCTCTTGATTTTTTTTTGGGATAATTTATTTGAATTTGGTTGTTGCAGATGTTTACATAGATGCTGATGACATCATCGATATTAGTCACATGAGAAGCAAAGGCTTACAACCAGGCGAAGAGTTGTTACCTGAAGATGGTATCATTTCTTTACACATAAAAATATAAATTTGTTTTTTTTTTTTAATAAAAAATAAAAATTGTGATGTAATAATAAAAAATAGGTCCTGGAGGACAGGAAGAGTCAACAAAGGTTATGGCAAATGAAGATATTGTGTCCCAACTTGCTGGAATGGGATTTAATCATCTGCATTGTCAAAAGGCTGCAATTAATACTTCAAATGTTGGTGTAGAAGAGGCCATGAATTGGTTGCTTTCCCACATGGATGATCCAGGTTTTTACCTTTTACTTTGACAAATTTACCCTCTTGGTATTTTTATAATTACCGTTTTTCCCTTTTTCAGATATTGATGCTCCGATTCAGAAAGAGGCAGGAAACAATGATGTTGATCCATCAAAGATTGCTATGTTGGTTTCGTTTGGATTTGAAGAAGAAGTAGCTAAGAAGGCTTTAAAGGCATCGGTAAATATCTCACACATTAAAATATATATATATATATATATATATATATATATATATATTTAATTTAGTTATAATTTACAATCTGATTTTTGTAATTCTTACTTAACAGGGGGGTGATATTGAGAAAGCAACAGATTGGATTTTTAACCCCCCTGCTTCATCTGGGCCTATGGATATGGATGCCACATCAAGCAGTGGACCCACTACTACCACTGTGGACCCCACATTACCCGATGGAAATGGAAGTAAGTTTATGTTAAATATTTTTGTTGCATATAGGAAAATTAGTTTATGTTTTTAATTTTTAATTTGTGTGCGTGTGTGCAGAATATAGACTGATTGGGCTAGTGAGCCACATAGGCAGCAACACACAGTGTGGGCATTATGTAGCCCACGTGTACAAAGAAGGAAGATGGGTGATTTTTAATGATGATAAAGTGGGTGTTTCTAAAGACCCTCCAAAAGACATGGCATACCTCTATTTCTATGAAAGGATCCAAACTTGAAACAAGAACCCCCACATACCTGGTTTTTTCTTTGAATCTGGAACATGGAAGGTAGAATAGACTTTTTTTTTTTTTTTTTCTTTTTTTTAGTTAATGTTTGAATTTTCAGTCTATGCCCATGTTGTGGGATCATATACTTTGTTTAGTATTGGTTTATAATTTCAAAGTTTGCAAATTGCCTTTGGTTTTTTCAATCTATAATCCTTGTCCAAATAAGATAATGCTTGGTCTCATGGAGGAATGGAATGTTAGGTTATGTTTTGGAATAGAATCTGAATTCCATTGCATCCATTAACCATATAATATGGAGGTGATGACCTAATCTAGTATTATTATTAACCAAAGTTGTTAATGATCCTATGATCCCACCTAGGTAAAGGTAAATTTATCCTGTTCATACTTGGATCATTTTTGGTTAAGATCAAAGTAGGATTGTAGGAGATCGATTGTAGATAGAAATGTATTTTGTTATGGTTTAAACTGTTTTTGGTAGGATATTACAAAGTAGAAAACGATCCAATCTTGGCAACCTTAATTATTATTATCAAACAAATGTCAAAGATTTGATCAGATTTCAAACATAAATGGTGTATTTGGTGCATATAAATTGTGAGATCATTTAAGCTACTTTTTTGAATATGCTTATTTCTTGCTAATGTTATGTTGTTTTACATTTGTTAGTTTTTATCAAACATTATTATTTTATTAGCTAACCTTTCATCATCTATTTTCAAACCAAATCACAATCAATCTATTCCTTTTCATAAACTAATAAAGGGAAAACTATGTGACACCTTTATTACCAATAATTTAGCCGTTCAAAAAATTGTTTAACAAATGGTCGTATAGTCGACCACTTTAACCATAAAATTATAACCTAACCTTTGTAGAGGTAAATAATATACCATCAACTATGATACTGTCTAGAATACAAGTTTTCGTAAGCATTTTATTAAAAAGTCTCAAACTATTCCAAAAATTTAGTTCCTAGTATGTATCTTGTATCCTCATTTATCTCCTTGATAGAGTACTCAAACACCGGAGACTACACAAAATAGTAACATTAAAACAAATTTTAATTAAATTAAGATGTACCTTTAAATTAGTAACATTCAATCATACTTTATATTTGTTTGAAATATATTATAAATATATACAAAATGTAAGTTAAGTTTTGTTTCTACAAACACTGTAGCTAATAGTTATGTTCATAAGGCACATTGGACAACTATTATGCACTTCTATTTATTTCTTTTGTTATTTTGCGTCTGCCTTGAATTGATCATTTATAATAACTGAAATACCTCCTAACGTTTAATATTTATTACAAAATTGGTCCCTAAACTATTTCCACTTATTGACAAATCATCTCCAAATCCAGATTGTTTCCTATAAACTTTTTTAAAATTAGATATTTATAAGTTTAACCCCAAAAACTTTTATTGTTTATGTGTTATTCAATTTTATTTACTATATATTAAGAACTAATGTCAAACGTGTGTTATAAATTCAACTTTATTTATGCTTCTATATAATTTTAATTTTAATTTTTTTTTATCTAAGTTGAAGCTGCGGCGCACTTCTTTTGTCAAACTTTAGTCCATATGTTTTGGTTGTTATTATTTTTAGTATTTGCTTTTATATTATTGTATTTTTGTCAATATAATTGTTCCTATATTCTTACGAATTATTCAAAAACCATCTAACATATAAAAATAGTCCATAAACTCTTCTCCATTTTTGATAAATCATCCAAGAGTTTTTTTTTTTTTAAATTTTTTTTTAGTGTTTTTGGAAGATATGATATGAATAAAAGGAACGACCTCAAATACTAGTTCTATACAAGTAAAAGAGACAGTCGATCACTTTAGAAAACTGTTTACTATAGTAAAAAAAACATGAATAAACTATTAGTTTTCAAAAACAAATTATAAAAGTCCACTTATGATTCGTGAATATAAACCATAAAATCATGAAATATGAAAAATTATGTGATATCTCAAAATATGTGGCTGTGTAGCGACACTCCTCCTCCATCCACCATTCCTTTATCCACTTTCACCCCCTTTTTACATCTTCTCTCTTCTTCATATTCATTTCCAATCTGCTCCATCCTCCTCCCATGGCTGCTTTTACTCTCTCTCCTGCTACTTCTTCTCAGGTACTCTCTGCAAATTTCAATTCCATTCCTCAAATGTTATCTCGTCGATTTGTTTGCTAATGATATCGATTCTAATTTTGACAGTTGCGATCTGGCACCAATGGATTGTTCTCGCCGGCTCAAGGGCTAATGGCCAAATCTGCTAAAAGCCAATCATCGGCGGGAAGGGAAAGAGGGATGAAGGTGACGTGTCAGGCGGCGAGTATCCCCGCCGATCGAGTTCCGGATATGGAGAAGAGGAAGCTGATGAACTTGTTGCTTCTTGGTGCTATTGGCCTTCCGTCCACCGGAATGTTGCTTCCGTACACCTACTTCTTCGTTCCACCTGGGTTTGTTCTCATTCCCTTCCGTTTATCTTTCTAGAATCCTCATCGTACATATAGCAAATAGATAATTTATGATACTCTATTAAAGTTTGATTATTTAATATTGATGGATTGATGTGCTAAAAAAAAAAAAAAAATTATTTAATGATTAATAAACTAAAATCACGATTCTATCATTTTATTTGTTACAGTGTTTAACTTAAAACGTAAATCGAGCTTGATTATTTAATGATTAATAAACTACAATGACGATTCTATCATTTTATTTGTCCAACTATAATAACATTTTCTAAAATTGTTTATTAGTATCTATATAAAAATCCATGTTTTTACAAGTAATATCTTAAGTAATAATAAGATAATACTTGTAAAAAATGGAATATTTTTTTGAATCAAATTTTAAACAGTTCCGGAGGTGGAGGTGGTGGAACTGCCGCTAAAGATGCCCTTGGAAACGACATCGTTGTAGCAGAATGGCTAAAAACCCATGGACCCGGCGACCGAACCCTATCTCAAGGTCTAAAGGTACTACTGCTACTTCTTTTACTTTTAAAGTTAGATACAAAAATTGCAATTTTTGTCTAATTGAGACAAGATCCAATCCAATTCAAGTTGAACGTTGTAGAATTTAGGGACTGTTTGATACCACAATTAAAAGCTTTGATAATATAAATGATTTTAGAATTTGTGTGAAATTGTAGGGAGACCCGACGTACTTAGTGGTGGAGAATGACAGAACCCTAGCCACATACGGAATCAATGCAGTGTGCACCCATCTCGGGTGTGTCGTGCCATGGAACAAAGCAGAGAACAAGTTCATGTGCCCGTGCCATGGTTCCCAATACAACAACCAAGGCAAAGTTGTTAGGGGTCCCGCTCCTCTCGTAAGACACCCCGTTCCCCTTTTCTTTTCGTATAAAATACCAGTGCATAATGTACAAGTTTTGATGCATGAGGTGCAAGTTTTTTTTTTACACCACGCACAATTCTGATACATGAGATACAAGTTTTATTACACACAAGTACAACTTATGATGCAAAAAGTAGAAAGTAGCGATGCATAATGTATAGATTTTGATGCACATGGTACAAGTTATTGATGCAGTAATTTGTTGATGTGTGAACAGTCGTTGGCACTTGCTCATGCGGATGTCGATGATGGGAAAGTGATATTTGTTCCATGGACTGAGACAGATTTCAGAACCGGTGAGGCTCCATGGTGGTCATAAGCGTCTCGATCCCTCCCTTTTGAGATTCTTGGTTTGTTTTGATTCGAGAATTAAAATATGTACACACAACTTAAGGTTTTAAATATTGTACCCAAAAAGTTTATAAATTTGTAAAATGGTTATCAATAATTATTTTTAGTGTCTTATAAGTTGCTCTTGTGTTGAAAGTCATTTAACATAAATGCACATTCATCACAAATCTTTTGGATTTATGTGTTGTGTGGTTGGTGTTGTAGAATGGTTATCAATGATTATTTTAAGTGTCTTATAAGTTGCTCTTGCCTATACGATCGTCGATCAACAATGGATACAACCAACTTTTCTATCGAGATAAACCGATTTACATGATTCAAATCTGTGGTGTAGGATTTGAATTGTTAACAACGTTGGAATTCAAATGAAAAGATTCTATGATGTCACCTTATAATATATGAATTTGAACCGAATATTTTTTAAACCATAAAAAAGTACCAAAACAAATTAAGCTAGGAATTAAGTCTATGTTTGGCATGCTATAACTAACTTATTTTTCAAGTTTTTTATGTTCTCTTGTTTGACAAACAAAAAAATTGTTTATAAACTAACGTTTAAAAAAACTATAAATACTAGCATTTCAACGAACTTTTTCGGTTTTTCAAAAATTCTCATAAATATACTCTTTCTTCATTACAAATATTACATAATTTTCTTAGGCTCTTCACTAAGTGGATAGAATAGAAGTGTCCAATTTGAATCAGACTATTTGGTTTGGATATTCAGATATTTAGATTGGTTTTTAGCAAAACCGATTTATTATTTTGGATTTCGGATTGATTTTAGTTTATAAAATAAAACCCGAATAGTTCAGAAAAACCGAATGAATTTATTATTATTTTATTTATTTTTAATATATATCTTTAATAATTTAGTAAATTTACTAAATTATTTTTTAATAGATTAGATAGTTTTATCGATTATAATACCTTTATAGTATTTTTGTCTAAAAAAACCTACTATTATATATTTTTCTTGATAGATGTTTATAAGTTTTAATTCACAGCTAATTAAACAATTTTATTAAGTTATTATTATTATTATTATTATTATTATTATTATTTAATTTTAAATAAAGTGGGATAATACTCGATTTATATATTTATTAAAATGTCTTGCATCTTGAAAACCGAATCATAAAAACCGATCCAAACGAATTGTAATTGGGTTGGATCAGATCAGATTTGAATTTAGTTCGGACTGTTTGGATCTATGTTTTGAAAACCATAATTAATTTGAATTCTCTTGATCGGATCAGATCGAACTGATCTATCCAATCGAACACCCTAATCTTCTACATGTCTTTTTATGTC